CCAGTGCTCTGCCGCCAGTAGGTGGGCCGGTACCCCATCAACCTTCTGGCAACTGTCAAGCCCACTTTCGGTCCAGCAGCAAGTGGCGTCATTCGTGGCAGGGCCTGGGGTGCCTTTATTCCCCTTTCCCAGGAGGCATGCTCCTTAATTATGCACAAGCAGGATAAGAAACTTCTCCAGTGTTTCCCCCTTCCCCCCACTTCCTCTCCACCGTGCCCAGATGTCACATCAAATCTGAACACATACAAAAGCTTGAGAGAGGGAGAGGAAAGCTTTCCCAGCTCAAATCTCAAACCTAAAATATTTCTGAAAGGTTGTGACTGGGGAGGGGGAGGGAATGTGGAAAGAAAAAAAGGTCTCTGTAATAACAGCCTGCTTCTAACTAGCGTCTTTTTGTCTCTGCCCCAAGGAAGCACAGCTTTTAAACTAGCAGAGATGCTAAGAGTCACTAGCTAAATACCCTCAGAAGCAAGTCAAGGCCTGCAGAGTTGCTTGCTACTGTCCTTTCCATCAATGTGTGTCTTCTGTTTCCCACAACTTTTTTTGAAGTCTTTTTATTTCTGAAAGTGTCAATTCAAACACAATATGCAATTCCAATCACACAGGCCCAGAAGCTGAAACCACCTCCCCTGCTCTAAGGATCTGTCTCTGTTTAAGCCATGTAAGAGCTTACAAGACTTTTTAGCAACAGCCATCTAAAGAAATGGAAAATATTCAGGTTTTCTTCCCTGCAGTACTGTTTTTGTACACTTGGATCCTTTGTTGAGCTGGCTAAACCAAACACTCAGGAGACCTGACAGCTAACCAGAGCAGAAGAATTGCACCACAAGGGAAAAGACAAACTAGTTTTTCACCCCGGTCAGGATTCTGACAAAACTCCACAGGTTGCCTTTGAGCATGGCAGACTTCCAGCATCACTGAGCCTCCACATGCCCTAAATAAAACTGCTTTTGCACTAGGACAAAGAAAAAAAATTTTTTTTGAACCTGCCAGATTATGTCAAACAGTCAAAGCAACAAGATTTGTCAGCCCACACTGACTGCGAGTTCACAGAACCCAAACTCTCTGACTTGGCTTATTTCTCAGGCAAAGGGCAATCCAGTTCTTCAAAACTCACTCTGAAGGCATGAAAAACTATACTAACCTCAAATAACTTCAAATAGTTAAGTGCAACAGTGGATGTCTACTTTTTACATTTCAGTGCAAGCAAAACAATCCAAAATACTAAGAAATACAGAACACACACAGTGCTTACTCAATGTGGAAATTCAGCACCAGCAAAGGGCTGATGGGGGAGAACCACACAGTGGCTGAGAGTGAGGAAGAGGAGTGAAACAGCTATGGGTGATCATTGTAAGCTTTCAGTACTGTGACAGTGCCAAACAGACCACTGCAATCTTAACTGGAGAACTGATGCAAATTTGTGGAGAAGAGACAAGGTCTGTTGGTAGGCAACGGTGGTCCTTACAGTATGACCTGTCAAATTACCAGTGTCAGTGATGCTCCTGGGTTACCACATACAGTACTAGGAAACACACACTTCAAAAATAAGTGAGTAAATGAAACAAACTTCTATGGACTGGAGATGGCTAACAGAAAAAGAAACAAGGGGGAAAAGGGTAAAATTGGATCACATGCCTTATAGCCAGGGCTTGCAGTTCAGATCTATCCAGGACAAAGAGTGATCAACTAATCAGCTACTTTATGCACAATACCAAACAATCTATATAGCACATAAACCTTTTCTAGTTGGTACTAATTTTTATTAACTATTTAGGGACAAATTAATTTTAAACTCTTATTAGGTTGTGCAACTGTACAAAATCATGCAAAAAAAAGCATTTAAGTTGCCCATTTCCATTCTAGAAGAAATAAAATTCTTTTTTTCACTCCAGTGACTTAACAGGAAAAAAATGAAACTAATAGACACCTATCCCTCATGATAATCCTTGCCAACATCCAGAATATTTTTCTTAATATTCTCCGACTAGAGAAGAACTTAGATTTTCTCACTTACCTCCTTCGTGAGCAAGACTACAGGAAGACACTAACATTTGGGTGTAACGTATTTTGCTTTTCATGGCTATCTTCAGAAACTTAGTCTTAGCAAAGTCACTCTCTAGGGATGTCTATTCCTCTGGATTTAACCACCATAGCAAGCATTGCAAAAAATATATCAATGTTTTTCCTTTCCTTACGTGCTATTCTTTACCAGAAGCAGAATAATTCTTGCTAAACTGGTAAGTTTTTCCTGACGTTGTCAGGTTTTCTCAGCAGGTAAAAACAGCTGATTGTGAAAGAAAAGACCATGTATTAAAAAAAACCCACAATGTGACATCATGTAATTTTGAGATGCGGCAACCACATTTTTGATAGTCAGAAGGGAAAAAAACCCATCATCAACCCACATCACTGTTTTTAATCCAGTGTTTTGTATTTCGAGTAGTATACTCTTGTACCACTTCAGAATAAATAATTAAGGCTTCAGTAATATGTCCTCTCAGGTTCTTGCTATATTGCTTTAAACAAATACAAGCAGATTTGCTACACAGAATGGAACAAAGTAAAGATTAAGCTGATAATTTAAAACACAGGTTATCTAGAGTTAGCTGGTACAAGCTGTTTGCCTAAGAGTTTAAGTGAGAAATTACTGTATGCTTTGTTCACAATGGAAACTTAAAACAGATTTCTTTTTTCTAAATATATGCTAGCTTTATAGCAATATTTTCAGTTGGCAGTGTTAATTCTTTCAGTTGGCTGCCAGCCAAGAAATGCTAATCTTGTGGGGGAAAAGTAAAGAGGTTCCACATAATTTTTTTTCCTACTTTATGGAAACTATGGATTTATCCCTGCTGAAAGGAGCACTGTCCTCATTGAAAGCAGTATAGCTGCTTTTACCACCTTTTTTTCCCCCCACCCAACAATCATATAATGTTGTGCGGGCTGAATTCAAAACTAGCCTTATCAAGACCTTAAAGGAAAAAGGTACCACAGAATAATGTCTACCCCTCCCACCAATCACAACCACTATTGCCAGGATTTGAGCTTTGTCATTTGTAGGACTTGATTTTTTTTTGTTTGTTTGGTTTTTTTTTAGTTTTGCCCAATAAATAACACCAAAACTTTAACAGTGGGATGAAACAGACTGATCTACCTTCTGAACTGAAATTCTGGATGGTTTGTATTTGTTTGGACTCAAAGGCCAGAAGAAAGGAAGCACACTTTTGAAAAAAGGCATTCGAAGATTTAACAGTTACAACTCAACGTTGCAAGTGCCTAAAAAAAGCTAGCAGTGACTCCAGAACCAGCACACAGTTTAAGAATGGGCTCATGTAGTAGTATTTTATATTATTTACTTGCCTTAAATTTTCTAATTCCTGTTTCTTCAAAGGTGAAGAAGGTGGGGCTGCAATGAATTTATCCCCTTCATGGCCTTTATTGCTAGAATAAAAACATTGTATTAATTACCAGGAGCAATAATAAATAATTAAAATTTCTCAGCGTAATAAGGGCCAGCAAAAATTCTATGGCCTAAAACCAGGGTAACAAAGCTATGCAAAAATTGAAGCACATGCTTTTTTCCTAACTATTCTATTTGAGAAGGAAGAAGGGGGACATTTGCTAGGAAGGATTTAACTGACAGACCAAACAACCCATGCCATTCTCCACAGCCTCAAGCTATTTTTGAGGTTTTGTGTAGAACAAGAGCTTTAAACTGGAGAGATGCACCACTCCCTGCATTTGTAGCCTGTCTTCTTTCGGCCTATAAGAAAAGCAGTAAACTAGTTCTCTCCCTAGACACCTTACAAACAAATCACAAATATTCTAGAAAGACAGTCCAAAGTGCTACAGCTTCCTTTAGATTTTCAGTTGCCTTAGCTTGTCTTATTTCAAAATGTCTTTTCTAAAAAAATAAATTTAAAACTACACTTTCTTCAAGTGATATTTGTTTTTTTCTGGGGAACAGGAATTTGTTCTGTTTAAAAAGTCTGCAACTTTACTCTCCAATAAATTGAAATACAACGTTCTTCTGGAGGAAGAATTGAAGAGAAGGTTAGCAGCTGCACCTTGGCAGAGAGAGGTTTAGAAAAAATAGATTAAAAAAAAAAAATGGAAACCGAGTCTGCCCACCTAAACTGATATGAAATGACATTAAAGAAAAATTCTTGTTATTACAGACAGGGAAGATAACTCAGACATGCAAAAGAGATAGCAACAAACTCCAAGGAAGCCTGTACTCCATCCTGTTGTAGTGTATGTACTTCATGCCTTTGCCAAGAATTAGATTTTAGAAAGCATCCTTAACCACTGAAATTATTCACCATTTTCTTGTGAATAAAAGAATCTGCCTCAGAGTCAGCCTGATCAATTAGTGGGATTTGCTTCAAAACCATCCTGTTCAATTACTGTGATTTGTGTGATTTTCTTCAAATGCCTTATATATTTTACTATTCTGTCAGAGTTCCTTGTCAGAGGGAAAGCATCCTTAGAGAACCTTTCAGAATGTGACACAAATTCAAGAGCAGTCTGCTTTATTACTGGATATTTTGAAATTGTCAATGACCACTGGGCGATGAGGGAGTTTTGGTTTTGATTTTTTAAGCTGAGGAAGCATCTGGTTTTGAAAACAGGAATTAATAAAGGATCTTCCTGTACATGGCATGTTTTCCTTTCCTCACTTCTACAAAACCAAACACACACCACCTCCCACCCCAAAACAAAACACAAAATTAGGTCTTGTCTAAGCAAGGGCCACCATTTTGTTTTCATTACTGCCTCTTAGTGGGCCCCATAAGCTTAAAATTGAACTCTCATTTAAACTAAAGAAGCTTCACCTCAATGGGCTGCATACAGCTTGCCAGGGGAAGTTAGTTCACAGCCTCCAACCTCCATAAGGAAAAAAAGAAAAAAACCTACACACACATCCCCCTGCCTCTACCTTTTAAATCATTTGGTCACTTGACTGGAAGGATTGTCATGGGGAAAAAAGGTTACAGAGGACAGCCTTCAATATTGCTCTAGCAGTAGCAGCCCTAATCTATCCCCCAGGCAACCTCAGAATATATGGGGATGCACCATGTGCCTATGCAACACAGCACGTGTGCAGTAAACCCTGACAAATGGACCTTCTCAAAATTTATCTGGTCTTGGGTCTGACAAAAATTGTTTTTTCACTACTCTAAGTAGCTCAAGCTCTAACAACTGCTTTTTCCAGATTATTTACTGTAACTCTTCCTTATCAAAATGGTCATTAATAAAAGTGCAGGGTATGGCAAATTGTCATTCTTCAAAAGGAAGTTTGGAATGCATGAGGATCAACACAAAGAATTAAAACACCTTCCTGCTATTTAATATTAGATATATATTGTCTACAAGTTACTTTTTCCAAAGCTTTAAGAAAAAAAAGATTTTTCTTAAACTTTTTTGTAAAATGCCATTTCTTAAGCCATAGCTTCATGCCACTTTTCTACCTATTGTGTAAATCTCGTTTACCATTTCTAGTCTAAAACAAACAACAAGCCATACTAGGCCTGATGAATGTCAAATCTGGTCATGGGGAAATGCTGACAATGGAATTGGTAGACATTTATATGCTGAACAAACTACACAGCACAAGTGCATGCATGCACACACACAAAATCACTAACTTAGAGAAATTTTACTTAAAATCACAGAAATACCAAAACACACTGCAGGAGGGTATGGGAAAGCACAATATTTGCAACACAGAATTAAGATGGCCAGTGGAAAAACAATTCACTGTCTAATTTATAAAACTTGTTAGGAATGGCAGGAAGAAACTCAATATTTCATTCTTAAATTGGCATACTAAAATTAGCGTACCAGAATTAAAACAGCAAGCAGCTAACCAACTTCCTTGATATCCCAACACTGCTAGGGGTTTGGGCAAAAAGAAAAGTTTATATGCAATTCTGTTTACCTGCAGGCTTCACTGCTTTCACTGCTCTCTGTGTTTCCCCCCAGCTGATGACTAGTTTTAGATCCATTTTCCTGTTTTGGCTCCTGCTGATCTTCTGGCAGTAGCAGCAAGGCATTTCTTAGACAAATTGCTGCAAATTCCATACTGGCTACAGGTATTGCTGAGGACTGCCCATCACTTAAAGAGACACAGAAGTTAGCCAGTGAGTAGCAATCCTACTAAAATAAAAAAAAAAAAAATAAAAGCAGAGCTCCAGAAAGATCTGAATGCAGAAAAAAACACTTTACCCTAAAAAAGCTAAATGTTTTAATATAGCACATTTAATTTATGAAGACTTCTGTATCTTGCTGTTCTTATATATGAAAAGTACACCGTGATGCCCAAAGAGAGTGGGCAGATTCAACTACATAATTACAAGTTCTCTTGTTTTTCTTGACTATACTTTCTTAAGTTTTTTGACAGAGCAACCAGATTCTTCCTGCACTTTTCTAAAATGGATTACTGAAAGTATGTATTTTTTAAAGTGAGAAGAAGAGGACAGATTTAGATAACTGGGAATATAAATTTCAGATAATTTTAAGCTTTAATGGTCTTCTTAGTTACAATGGATGCACAGTTAAGCCCTCTGCTGGCCATCATAAACATCATTTGGATGTCTCCTCCAAGTAGAACTCAAACATTGCAGCATGCCGCTCTCTTCGATACATTAGTAATTCCAAAGTGGACAGATATTCCATGATGTTTTTAAAAACTCCTGATAAGTAGATACACATCCTTAAAGCTGTGACAAGCACAACCACCACCAGAAGAGCCTATAGAGAACATACTTACTTATAAACAACATTCTGTATTGACTGGGATGCCAGGACTATCTTACGGTGGTAGCCTTGACCTACTATGGATTGCACAATTCCCTTTTTGCTGGGAAGACCTTTAGTCTCTTGTTCTGATGTCTGAAAGGAAAGGAAAAAGAAGAAAAACAAACAAACAAACAAAAAAAAGGACTAATACACCAAACCTTGACAAAATACATGGGAGCTGGCAGAAGACATTGAATCCTGCTAAAATGTAAGAATTGATGTTTTATACGGGTACGATTTTACATCTTAAGTATCAGGAAGGATCAGGCAACCTTCTATTGTCTTTGGGTTGCAGAAGGATTTTACAGCACACAGCGTAACAACAGATTAGCTCTGACAGCTTGTCCGATAGCCTACTGACCTAGTTTCTCCTCTGTTTTGAAAGCAAAAGAACAATGAACCAAGTTGTGTTAGAAGTACTGCCAGGATATCTAAAAACAAATCTTATGATCAGCCAAATAGCATTCAAAATTGGCACTAACTCTTGCCATCTTCTCTCCTTTACACAGCATTCAGAACAATCTCTGAAAATGCTGCTCAAACTGATCCATGGGGAGAACAAAGCTGAACCACAACATATGCAAAGTTATGTTACATTAATGTCTTCAACAGATTTTTTGAGCATGCAGACATTTGGGGGGAGGGAGGGAAGGGTGGTGTCAAACCCATTTAAGGTACCCTAATTGTCAGTCCCAAAAATTATGTCTAGACCATATTTGCTGGAGTTTGTTTTACCAAGAGCCTTCTTAACAGCTCTTCTGGCAAGTAAAGTTAGTGATGAAGAGTTGCAGTTGTAAAGAAAAAAACCTTAGCCTAAAACTTTTTTTAAATAGCTATCACTTTTCAGAAATTTTTTCAGAATCTATTGTGAAGAAGATTATAATGGCATTTACTGTCAAATAAAAAATACATACAATGAGTTTGGATATGAAGCATGTGTTTTGGAAAAGGTGTTAAAAAATACAGAAAGGTAACCATACCATCTATATTTTATAAACTGAACTACTAAAGGGGGTGAAAATCAGCTTAAGTAAAATTACTTTTCTGACAGTGTTCAGAGCATAAATATGAACCCATACTTAAGATATCAAGGAATATTATTGTAAATTGAGTTAAAGTCAAATTAAACACACTATTGATTTTAGGGTCTCACTTGTAAGGTAGATTTGCAACACTACAACTTAACTTCCCCATTGCCTTTACTAGTAAGATCATTGACATTATTTCCTTTTCTTGTAAGATCACAAATTTAGGAAAGAGCAAGCTGTCTTTGTGACACGAATTCAAGCTCCCTGGTACAGGACATCACAACTGTAGCAGAAAGCAAGCTAGGCTGCAGGAACCTGGCATGATCTACTGTTTTGGCTAGTCTGCAGTAAATAAAGCAGTGCCCCATAAGGGTCTGTATTTCCCTTTTCCAGACTGCTGAACATTGTCCTTGTAAACAGAATATCAGGCCTGTTTTGGTTTTGTTTCTTGCCACAAAACCTATGCTAATCCAGACTCTCGTGCCCAGCATTCCACCAGAGATGATCCCCTGTGTTGTCTTTTAAGTGTGACTTGTAGCCAGTAGGACAGACACAGAGAACTGCAAAAGGAGTATGAAAAAAGCTGTTCTTCCTGCACTTGCTGTGCTTTATAAAACTCAGAATGCTCTGACAACAGCTAGCACATACACAAAGTCAGTGTGCTTTTGACCCAACACTCTCGAAACTTCAACGGTGTCTTTGTGAAATGGCAATAATAAGTAAACCTCATCTATGAAGGTGTAGATACCTTTCCTAAGTTTTCTGAAGTAGAGACACCAAATCAACAAGCACCCCTGAAATTCACAAGGGAAATTCTGCAAATTTTGTATTTGGAAGGACTTGGTGTGCAGTAAAAAAAGGTGCAGAGGCCGCTCAAAGAGGGGAAACAGAATTCAGGGGTGGAAGGGAAAGAAAGAACATAGCCACTTGTAGAGAGAATTTTAGCTGCGTCA